TATCTACCAGAGGTGGAAGATTTATGCCAGTGAGTTGTCCGATCGTGCGGTTGTCCGCTCCAGCGCACAGCCGTTCTGAGATGTTCGGTGAGCCGCGAATTTCATCACAGTACTGAAGCCGTCGTCGTAGCATCTTCTTGCTGCCATGGTCGTTTGACATGGCTGCAGAGTGAAGTTCGGACCTCCTAGGATGCCTGTAGATTAGAAATGAGAAGTAGTAAATCAGTTTTCGTCCTTAAATAGAGCTTATCAGTTGGTATAATGTATCGTATGATCACTTTGATCCTGATAGCCTCCTGCAGGGATGATAATGTCTCTGCATTGCTCATATTGAGGGAGAGGAACAACGGCCAATCATGCACGTCACTGACATTGTAATTTTTGTGCCGGTAGCGCAACTCTAATTGCCCTCTTTATCGAGATTTGAGCTTTAGCCAAAAACTAATTTTTATCCCTGTTCTGGATCAAGTATTTTTCACAATTTAATTTACTATGACGAAGAATAAAGAGGAATCACGAATTTCGCGCCAACAACTTTCTTTTCTTATACATAATCATGTGCGTAGAAGTATCATTTTCAGGCAGACAAACTCAGTCAGTTGGAGACTGATGTGGAACTCCACAAAAGGATCGTCGCTGCCGCTGAACGTCTAGCCAAAGATAAAACGATGAACAAAAGTGTGCGAAAGAAGAGACAAAAGGTATCAGAGCATGACGAGTTTAGTCATTTCGTCAATTATGCTACTCTTGAGAAAAGACGAAATTAGAGTTGCATGTAAAGAAACTTTATAAATACGTTTACCAGAAAGAAAATTGAAGTCTCAAATGCATTTATTTAATTTGTTGCATATTTTACCTTTTATTATAACTAGGAGGTAATCGAATCTGTCCATTCTCGTCAAATGAGATCCCTATTCAATCTTAGAGAAACTTGAAAAAGAGTTTCAAAATATGGAACTCTTTTCGCTCACATGTCTGCTGTAAGAATCAGATGTTTTCGTAACAGTCATTCTGTTTAAAGTTGTATACAAGATTATAGATGTTTTCTTATGATAAGAGTAGCCTAAGGAATCTTTTGAGTTTGGAGTATCTGAGGGGAAAGCGTAGTTTTACATCAAATTCTATGCTTCATATATCTCGTTTAATCTATCCTTCCATGCAAATAGACTAGTGTCAGGTAAGCCAGCTGGAAAAGCTTTTCAGTTCGTGAAAGTATATCAGTTGCTTTCACGAAATGTTTTCTCTTATCAAAACGCTTCTAAAAACTGACATGTACAACCTTATGAGATTAAGATGAACCTTTGTTGCTCTTCAGGATTTGGCTGCCGCTGCGATGAAGCTACGAGGATTGGAGCTAGGCTTGAATCAAATGCGTTTGAGTGCCAGCAAACCCGATGTGAGCACTGTTGAGAACGGAAATGGAGGTAAGTCAAACCGTGGTGTGCTCTATTTCTTATTCCGTTCAAACAACAAATTAATCTTATTTATATCGATTCCTTCCCTAGGTTCTTGGACGGGATTAGCTCAAGCGAATGGCAACAGCACTTTGACTAGAGCGATTGCAAAGTCTTGTCCTACGACACCACGTGGATCTGTACCGGATTTATGCACACCTAACGGGGAGAAAAGTGACTATGAAGACGATGAAAACGTGCAGCGGCGAGTACCAAGGTGAGATTTTTCAAGAACTGCATATGCTACCATGCATGACTAATTCAAAATGCTCAAACTAATGCATAAGAGGCCCTCTCTACTCTATCCCTAACGGATTGCGTATTAAGCTCAACATCTCGTCGCTCGCTTCACCAACGATTCTCGGAAGCATCCACTTCAAGTAACGGTTCGTTTGGATTACCACCACGTGCAAACTCCCGACGTAGCATCACAACTCGTTCAATAACCAGTGATGAACTCGATAACCCACTAATCAACTCAGCTCAACCGCTTGCTGAGCATGCTCCTATGTAAGCTCTTATTTTGTTCTACAATCCCCTCACTCTGCTTATGAATGATATCTTTGGTCGGGCCTTTAAAGCTGCATTTATGTTTATTTAAATTTGGGTTTA